TATATACTCGGCAAATATTTATTTAAGGAGTCAGGCATGGTGACTGAGAGCATAGGCCCAAACCTAGACATCATGGGTCAAAGAGCCAGCTTCACTGTGTGGCCTTAAGCAAGTGACTTAATCTGAGTGCCTCAGTGTCATCAACTGAAAAGTGGATTTAATGGCAGTACCCGCATCACAGTTTTGTGAGCTATTAAAAAACATGAATTCATGTAAAATGCCTGGCATACAGTAAGAACTCAAATGTAAAATATCATTATTAAATGCTAGTATGTCTTTAGGAACCTGAGTTTAGTACTACTAATTTCCTGGGGAGAAAACATTCTTTCTCAGTGAAGTACATGATAAAGGGGCTTTATTCCCCCCTCAGGGTGGCTCCATTTTAAAACATCGTAGGTTGATACTTAATTTTCATAGGGATTGTGGAAAGTATATATTTCCGTGGGGAATACACTCAGGCGTACAAGGATGCAAGTTGATTTTAGTTGTCTGACAGATGTTTATTTCATATCATTGTGCCCTAATATTTTAATAGGAAGGGACCAACCACAATTTTTAACCAAACTCCTTGATCTTTGTCTACTGGCAAGCTGTCAATCATGACTGAATTTGTGGCGTGAAGATGAAAGTCTACAATTATAAACTCAGGAAGTAAAGACATTACCTCTAAACTAGGCTGTTTAGATTAACCTTCGGGTCAATAGTCTGTACAACCCAGTGTGGGTCAGTATGCTGAGAAGATTTAAATTAGCTGCTCATTGCCCTATCATTTCCCAAACATACCAACAACATGGAAAGATGGAGCTGGGGAAGAAATGATTCTGTGGTACAAGACTCCTCCTGCTTCTAGGGTTTATAACCTAATGTCTCAGACCAGCTACACGAGTTAAATATCTGCTTCTGCCTAACAAAGATCTTTAACTTTGTATAATGTTTACTTGAGAAATTGTAATTAGTTCATCACAACATGTTCTAATGCAGCGGTTCTCAACCTGTGGGTCACGACCCCTTTGGGGGGAGGGGGTCAAACGACCCTTTCACAGGGATCGCCTAAGACATAACAGTAGCAAAATTACAGTTATGAAGTAGCAATGAAAATGATTTTATGGTTGGGGGTCACCACAACATGAGGAACTGTATTAAAGGGTCACGACATTAGGAAGGTTGAGAACCACTGTTCTAATGGATTTGTCATAGTTGAGTTAGCTTTATATTGTTTTTTTAAATATTTTTGGTAATATTAGTGCAATAATATATTATGCTATACAAGCATTATAACTGATTTCTTACAATTACATAGTACATTTAAAAAGTATATTTTATGATTCCTAAATTTGGGATGGAAAATACATTACATGTGAAGGTTTTTAAAAATACTCTCCATCTTGCATTTTTCCTTCATTTGAGGCAGCACATTTCAACTATAAAGTATGTAACGGTGTCTGTTTTAGCCAAAAAAAAAAAAAAGAAAGAAAAAAGAAATCTCACCTTTTGGAGCTATAAAATATACAGAATTGAAAGCTGACACCTAATATATTTTTCATTAGATACAGATGTTCAATGTAAATTCTTTCTTCAAGTATTCATGAAAATCAGGATAGCTAAAAATTTTCAGGTATAATGGATAAAAGTGAAAATCATACCATTTGGTAAATTGATAATAACTTTTTAATGAAACATATTTTCTTTTTATAATTTATAAATTCCTTTAAACATTATAATTATGTTGTCATTTCACATTATGAATAGAATATTTAAATTGCCATGGATCTTAATGAAAGAACATTACCTAAAGACCTCATTTAAATGCAGACAATCTCACAACTCATATATATTCAACAATTGCAGTTTCTCTTTTTTTTAACCTTAAAATTTAATTTCTAATTTTGAAGATATTTCTAATATTTATTTTTTATACTTGTGTGCAAAATAGCTTTCTTTTTTTTTTTTTTTTTATCCTCACCCAAGGATATTTTTCCATTTTTTTTTTTTTTTTTTGTACAGATAGAGTGGGAGGGGAGAGAGAGGAAGGAGAGAGAGAGAGAAACATCAACGTGAAGGGACACATCGAGTGGCTGCCACCCGCACGACCAACCAGGGCCGGGGACAAACTGCAACCGAGGTACGTGCCCTTAGCGGGAACCGAACCCGGGTCTCTCCGGACCGCAGGCGGACGCTCCAACCGCTGAGCCAAACCGGCCAGGGCCAAAATAGCTTTCTTATTGTTAGAAAATGCGGGCCACTGTGGTGGTGAATGCATGATACAAGTCCAGTTGTGCTGGCTTTTTGTATGTTGAGGCAGTTACTTTCACTCCTGAATTGAGTCGGGCTGCACCCAATTTTGAAATAATAATAGTTCTGAATAGGCTATGTCTGTGGTGAGTACTTACAGCTACTGATGTTTTGCCACCTGCACAAGTCATTATTCTAACTGGGGGAATGAAATGTGAACTATCCAGTCTGGGAAAAAAGGACATTAAAAAAAAAAAAGTAATTCTCTTTTCTTTTTTACCTGCCCTTCCCCCAAAACTGAAAAAAAAAAAATCATTTCAAACAGATGTTTCTTGAAATCCAAATATATTAGGTATTGTGAGTTGAACTTTAAGCCAGTAGTTTATCTATTGTTCCATTTGGGTTATATTTAAATGTTTGTGGATTTGAGCTGCATGCATTTTTCTTAAGATAAAAGTTAACTGTGAGAGTCTCACTGTAAAACTTTAAAATATCTCCTTTTATTTTGCCTTAACTACTTTTCACAAAAATAGTACCCAACATTTTCTCAAAGTTTTCCAGTAGTTTATTTCTTCATTTGTTAATTCACATGCTCACTGAACACATTTACTAGGAGCCTACTATGTGAATAACATGTTTACCTTAGTAGGCATGCAAACACACACACACACACACACACACACACACTCTCTCACACGCGCGCACACACACACACACACACACACACACACTCTCTCACAATGATCCACCTCATGAGGTTTACAGTGTATTGAGGAAGACAACTTTATACAAAATATGTTACTAGCTGTAGAAGTTTGATACTTTCAATAAGGGTGATACCCACGAGTAAAACCATACAGAAGAGAGATCAGTGTGCACTGGGAAAATCTTTGTCTGGATTTCTGATCAAAGGACAGCTGCGCTTGGCCCGGCAGATAGAAGGTAGGGCATGGTAGGCAGGGGCCATGCCAGGAACGAAGGCATGACAGTCAGAACTGGAAGGTCTGCTGACGGAACTATGAAGGTCGGGTACAGACCAAGGAATAGGGCATCAGGATGTTAGATTATAAAGGTAGATTAGAGGATTTGGGGAGACCTTTGGATATTGGGTTAGTATAGATATATTTCATCTTGGTAGAGAAGAAGATTATGGACTATTCATAAAGATGAAGAATGACCCAGTGAGGTTGGTGGTTAGCAATAGTAATTTTAGCAGCGAGTGTGATATGTATTGGACAGAGGAGTTGAGGGTACAAAGAATAGTTATTGTTGTTAGAGGTTTAGGAATCAGATCAGGAAATTTTAAATTAAATTATAGTATAAGAAACAGAAGGAAACATGAATCTGCAGGGTTTGTCGTTAATAAGTTATTGGAAATTAAGGCAGGCAAATAAAATATTCTGACATTTAGAGAATTACAGAACCAGGAACAAGAGGAAGCTTTGGGGGAGATGAGTTTGGGGGAGCATATAAGAAAAAATTTAGTGGTTTTATTGGGGCTGAAAGAATGACTGGAGCAATCAGGAGTGACAATTAAAAGGTAAAGGGTTTTCCCTGGCCAGTTTGGCTCAGCAGTTAGAGTACCGGCCCTCAGAGCAAAGGGTTATGGGTTCAATTCCTGGTCAAGGGCACGTACCTGGGTTGCAGGTTCAATCCTCGGCCCTGGTCGGGGTCATGTGAGAGACAACTAATCGATGTGTCTCTCTCACATCAATGTTTCTCTTTCTTTAAAATGGGGGGCGGGGGGGAGGTAAAGGGTTTCTCTAGCATGTTATAAAAATGTCCTAAAGTTGTTTGTGGTGATGATTGCACAACTCTATAAATGCAGTGTACTAAAAATCATTGAATTTTACACTTTAAGTGAGTGAATTGTAAGGAGGTATGTGAATTATATCACAATAAGACTGTTATAAAAGAGAAAAAGAAGAAAAATATGCTTTGGGAGATTATGAAAAAGAAGAAAAAAATGGTTAACAGTTAAATGCAGGGACGAACAATTGTGAATCGCGTTCATCAGAGCAGTAGAGGAAGCTGTGTGTGGTTGGGGGGGGGATAGCCGAGGTCTGAATCCAGTCATTTTACAGCTCACCGACTCCTCAGGAAGGGGAATGGTTAGAGAGAGTGTTTTCTTACAGAGAGTTTATCATCGGCATTGATTTTACCTGGATTATCTCAATCAGGAAGACAGATTCAGTGGAATTTAGAGATGTGGCTTTTTATGCATTATCCATGTTAATAAATTCGCCAATGATGGTTGTTTGTTGATATACTACGGCTCTAATTCAAATTAAAGAAGGGAGCTATGGCATTCTTATTATCAAAAACATGTACATAATACAAAATACCGGTTCTGCTATATTCCCTTGCCTTGCAGGCCAAAGAATTGAATGGACCACTGAGGATGAGAACCGAACAAATCTCAGACACTAAATTGTACAATCGCTGGTGAAGCTGGTTCTTTCATTGATCGCTTGATTGCTAAGTGGTGGGACTCTTTCACCCAGAATATCATTTTTTCACTTTTCGTGTGAAATAAAACATCTTTGCAGTTGAAACTATAATATCAAAATGTAAAATATTCTCACTACCAAAGGAAAACATCACATTCCAAACAAACAGTTCTTTCCAGTGAGTGCCTATTCCACACATGTAACTCAGCTGGAGTAGAAATTTTGATGATAAAAACTATGTCAAATATGCTGACATGAGTGTTGCATTTGTGTTGGGGAATGACTATGCTTTTTTAATGCTTCTTTTCATTATTTCAGGGAAGGAGATAACAGCAGAAACGTTTATGGAGAGACTGGACAATGGTGCCTTGCTCTGTCAACTTGCAGAAACAGTTCAGGAGAAATTCAAAGAGAGCCTGGATGCTACTAAGCCCATAAAGGTAAAAGACCCCAAGGCCAAATAACTATTAGGAGGTGGATTACACTTGTCGTTGCTTATAAACTGAGTTTAATTTGAGGATTTCATTGAGAATGGATGCATTACTGTCTCTATTAACAGCAAAGCACAGAGGGTGCTTTTTAATTAGGTGACATGTTATTTTCCCCTAATTATATAAATTACATAATCCTTTTGGTAAGTCTAATTAAAGAAAAGCTTCTAGAAATTGATGGTTTTAATACAAAACAAGTACTGTGGTATATAAACTGGCTGGATCTGATGTAGCGATTAAAATTTTAGCAGAGAAATAATTTATGTCATCAGTACATGAACACATTCTAGCCAAGAGAGATTTACTGAATAGGTCTTTGTTTCCAAATAGATCATTATGGTAGAATACTATATTAAAATATCTGGAGTGTGTAATTTTTGGTTTGTTTTAAATAGGTAGTAGCATTGAATTAAGTGACTTTGGACAAATTATTTTTGTTTGTTTTAAATAGGTAGTAGTGTTGAATTAAGTAACTTTGGACAAATTATTTTCTTTCTGACTCCTCAGATTTCTTTTCTGCACATTAGTTCTAATATTCTTTTCTGTTTATTGTAAACACATAATAAAAATGTGATGTTTTTTATCTTTTGAAGAGAGAAGATACTTTTCTTAATTTTTAAGAGAGCTGGGAAAGATGTAATAAAAAAGTAAGGTTAAAGTAATGTTGAAGTCAGCTAAAAATAAAAATAAAAAAACAACTGTTAAACTTTCTGCAGCTCTGGCAAAAATGAATAAAACTGCCTGGCCGGTGTGGCTTAGTGGTTGAGCATTGATTCCCGGTCAGGCCACCTGCCCAGTTTGTGGCCAAGTTCCACCTGGGGGGCATGCAGGAGCTGGCCAGTCAATGTTCTTTCTCATCTATGTTTCTATCTCTCCCTCTCCCTTCTTTTCTTTCTAAAATCAATAAAGAAAAACAAACAAATTTTTAATGAATAAAACATTATTTATGTATAGTTTCTTTATGACTACTGAACTAAAATCTAACCAGAGGATTAAGCTTCCTAAAAAAGCATTATTTTCTTTTTTTTTTTTATCCTCACCCGAGGGTATTTTTCCATTTTTTGTACAGATAGAGTGGGAGGGAGAGAGAGGAAGGGAGAGAGAGAGAGAAACATCGACGTGAAGGGACACATCGAGTGGCTGCCACCCGCACGACCAACCAGGGCCGGGGACAAAGTGCAACCGAAGTACGTGCCCTTAGCGGGAACCGAACCCGGGTCTCTCCAGACCGCAGGCCGACGCTCTAACCGCTGAGCCAAACTGGCCAGGGCAGCATTATTTTCTTTATAGTGCTGTACTTAGTTTGGAGATAGCACTTTACAGCACTTTGTGATGTACTATGTAATATAAAAGCCCCTCCATTTTTTTAATCTTAAAAGTGGTTCTGTGAAAGTACTAACTACCTTAGTAGCTCCCAAATTTGCTGCACAGTAGAATTACCTGAGTAGCTTTAAACATTTCTGAGACCTGGCCCTCACGACTGAACACTCTGATTTATCCCCGACAGGGAGCGATCTGGGGATGGCTAAAAAAAACTCCCCAGGTGATTCTAATGTTGAGCAAAGTTTGGGACCCACTATATTTATTTTTTCCCTCCATTGGTTAGATGCATAGGGATTTGTGCAAGATCCGGAATAGATTCAATAAAATCCAGGTAGCTGGGTTTACCCTGAATATTTCCTATAGGGGAAAAAAAAGGAGATTTTCAAATTGGGTATCAATAACCTGGAGGTTATAATATTAAGTGTGTGAGTGTGTGCGTGTAATGATTTTCCTCCTTGGCATTTTAAAGTTTAGGGACAGAGGTGGCAGAGGTCGATGAGCTGGTCAATACCTTCTCTGAATTCGTGAAACTATGTTGTGCGTGAGATGTTAAACAGAATTTTTAAAAAATCAGCAACAAACCTGATCCCATCTGAATTCATGTCACAGGAAACCCTTAGTGATTTTCTTCCAGCAGCTTAAATCTCACGTTCTCCTTCTCAGAGCAGTGGTTTTAGTTTTCCTGATTGATAATTAATGTGTGGATTTTACAGCTGTGTAAACACATTTGCGTAAGTTATGCTTGGTATGTGTGAAGCATGTCTGTGTTAAGAATTTTTTAAGCACTCTAATATTTGAAAGAAAGTTTAATAAATATGTGACAGTTTACATATTTAATATTTTAGTTATACATTCATGACTATTATATTCTTTTTGGCTTGATAAAATACCCTGAATGAAAATAAATTATATTCTATGATTTCTTTTTTCTTTCCAGGCATCAGCAGAGCAATAGGAAAAAATATAGCCTTTGTTTGTTAGCTATAAGCATTAATCTTAGCCTTCGCATTTTCTCACTTTGCCCGGAAGCATTGCAGAGACTCCACAGACCTAAGCAGTAGATGGGTAGATGCATTAAGATGAATGTGCAGCAATTTTATTTTAATTAATTTTAATTTATGTATTATACTATGATTAATTCATTATAATGATACATGTTAATATTCCTGGGGTTGAGGGTCATGAAAGGCAAAGAAATCTAAACAAAACTAATCTTTCTAATATTCTGTCGAGAAAACCAAAACAAGTGATAAGCGCAAGGTTAGGTTTGATGTCTTTTTGACTCTTAATAACCCGACTCAAAGTTGCCATGTCCCATCAGGACAGAGTAATTGTTATATTGATGTCTGGACTCTCACTTCCTGGTCCAGACAGAGGTCACATGTGTGAACACCTCGGTATTGCATATTTCCTCTGTTCTTTTTGTACCAGTCACGACTTGTTGATTTTTGTGCACGATTCTCTCGGCCACTAAGGCAGCAACATGGCGCGAGATCCCCCAAATGTTCAGCCTCTGTTCTCTCCGGGCATTCCTTTCTGTTTGTCTCATTTATCTTGAGAGTCTCTGCCCCGGACATCAGAGTTCCCCTGGCTTCAGAGCTTCCTTTGACTTCAAAGAGAGCCCTGGATAGTTAGATCAGGTTCGAAGCACACGAAGGGGAAAGGAAAGAAAAGGAAGTTCTGTTACCTAGTAGAATGCCACATTATGCTCCAAGGAAGGAACTGAACATTCACCATCTGAAGGTAGAATCTAGTCCTTGTTTGGCAGAAAGAACATCCTAGTCAGATAGAATGCCCATAGTACTGTTTTCCATCAAGAATACCTAGTTCTCTGAGCTGTAAGATAAGAATACCTCAGGATGTTGTACCATCCAGGAATTAAATTAAAGACATAAAGATTAGAGTTTTGCCCTTCAAAAATCAATAGCACACGTTATTTAGAAAACATCTTGTCAAGATTGAATTCAGAGAGATCTAGAAATCTGTGTTTATTGCTGGTAACTGACAGAATAAGAAAGTATGGTAGAAGTGATAAAAAGGTTTTTCTTGTAAAGATCTCAGCTGCAGTTAATTTAGAGTTATTCATATCTGGCTATATAACTAAAATAATTGTATATTCCTTAAGAAATTCATGGTTTTGCCCTGGCCGGTGTGGCTCAGCGGTTAGAGCGTCGGCCTGCGGTCCAGAGAGACCCGGGTTCGGTTCCCGCTAAGGGCACGTGCCTCAGTTGCAGTTTGTCCCCGGCCCTGGTTGGTCGTGCGGGTGGCAGCCACTCGATGTGTCCCTTCACATCGATGTTTCTCTCTCTCTCTCTCTCCCTCTCTCTCCCTCCCGCACCATCTGAACAAAAAATGGAAAAATGTCCTCGGGTGAGGAAAAAAAAAAAAAAGAGAGAAATTTATGGTTTTGAGATGCAAATATGATGCTAGGTGTAAACCAATGGAATGAATCAGGATAAGATGGAGGGAATATAGTTGTAATGATGTGGAAATAAATGACTTTTCTGATGGGTTCCCTTCACAAGGAAGGCAGTGTTCTGGAACTTAGGGGGAAAGCAAGAGAGAGAGAGAGAAATTAGTGATAAAGTTCAATTCCTCAGAGTTTAAAATAAGTCTAAATATCTTCAAGTTTTAACTATAAATTATTTTTCAGTATACAATTAAATCCCCTTCTCACCATTTTTCCCAATCCCTGACCACCTGGAAAAACTTTAATCTCTAGATCAGAGAAAATGAAATGTCTTGCTTAATGTTTTTTCCTTATCAGGAGTGTTTATATTTTATACCATCTTAAAGGGATATGCCTAACTAGAATGTTAGTACCATAGTAATAAATCTTAGTGTACCATGTAGAATGATATGAAAAGAAGGTTAACTTTTTTTCTACCCATAGTTAGCTAGTCATACGGAATTTGATATGAGCTAAATGGACAGGCTGAGATAAGAAAAGAACAGTGTGAAAAAGTAGGTATAATAGGGAGCGTACGATGTACTTATTGAATTGACCTGGACCTTCAGGCCTGATTAAATTAACCCCCTATGTAACACTTCTGCTCCATGACAAGAGTATTGCTGGGTACAATGAAAACCTTGGGTAAATTGATTATCCAACACTAAGTTCATGATAAACAGCTCAAGTGTCATGGTCACTGGTCTCCCAAGATGAGGAACCGACCTCCGTTAAACAAGAGCAAGCTAGGAAGATTTTCATGATATCCTTCACAAAGAAGGCAGTGTTCCTGCAGAGCTCCTACTGCTGGGCCCAGAAATGTCATTTAGTTGCCAAAGTCCCCATCCTGGATTCTCATGGCATTCATCGTCTGCTCTCTGGGATGCGTGTATTTCGTGAAACCATCTAGTTTGTCTACTGTCCTTCAATATCAAGTCAGCAAAATATTATGACATAGAAGAGTTTAATGTCTTGTGTAATATTGAAATGTCCCTTGTCTCTATGGGTGATGTCATAGAGCCGGAGCTAATACAGAGCGAAAGAGCTCTGTTATTTGTGCGACGTGCAAGCAAACTGCTCCTGGAGTTTTCTATCAATCAGAATGAAGCAAATTGCATTTTTTCAGACTGATAGGTGCATGTCAAGTACCAGTATGTTTGCTAATATACTTCAGTGA